CAAGAGAGTGTTAAAGACTCATCAGAAACACAGGCCACTATGAAAGCTAGCTATAGAATGTCAGCAGTCTGTGTGCTTCTCCCCGCTGAAGGCTACGGAGCTGTTCCTGATCGGTGGCGCTCTCATGGTCCCACCTCAGGGAGGCTGCGTGAAATTGAAAGTCATTTCTATTCCTGTTTGTGAATAGACTAGTACATGCCTCTTCATGTCTGGGTGAATGTTAAGCTGTATGGAACCATTCTAGAGAGAGCTAAAGCATGCCTTTTGCAAGTATAGTAATTGCCTGTGACTTCCCGGTGAAAGTGCCAAATACAGAAAACAAACAGAAGACAGAAAAGAATTAAAGGGTCATCGGAGTAGGAGGAAAAAACTTTAAAAAAATATACGTGAGTGCATTTGAATGCCTTATGTGCATTCGCCTAAATTAGAATTTTCCTGATTCCAAGCCCCCTCCTACTCTCCTTCTTTGTCTTCTTGTCTGCTGAACTGCTAACTAGAGAAAAGTTTTGTCAAAACTGAGTATCTGGCATTAGTGCTTAAGATAAAAGACTTTCAACCTATAAGAAATGAGGAAAACCACAGAAAGGTTAAAATATCGGGCATTTCATATTTATTTTTAGTCTCACTAATTAACTAACTAAAAAAGACTTATCCCCTTGCTTTAGCTAATGTATAATTAAGGTATCTGAGTACAAAGAATTTGTCCGTAAAGCTAAATTAGAATGTAGGCGCCAAAAAAAAAAAAAAAACCACTGAGGTTTTCCAGCTATTCTTTTTTAAAAATACAAACTTCTGAAAGCATTATCTCTTCTTCCAGTAAATAATTGAGTCATTACCAGATATGTGACGCACTATCATAAGTACTGTGGGGGATACAGAGACAGATAAAATCAAGTTTCTTTCCACAGTTGTTTATAAAAGGTTGATAATCCAAGGAGGCTAGAATAAAATGCTTCCTGGAATTTGGCCTTGGCTGTTGTGTGAAACCGTGCCTTGTAGTTGAGTTCTCCAAAGAGTGCAGAGTTTACCGCTATAAACATCAAGCCCTTTTCTCTTAAACTATTGGATGGTGGGGACACAGAGCATACTGTACTCCAATTATGTAGAATCATCCATTGAGCACAGATGACTGCGTTGAACAGCACGCAATGTTAAGTCTTGAGGCTTTCATGCTCTC